GATGTCTCCATTATAAAATGTGAAATGTGAGAAGGAGATAGAGAAGGTATGTTTTCTTCCATTTGCATATGTTTGGTTTGTGTGACAAGGGGCTAAGAGAAAGGCTTATAAAAAGCAAGATATAATGCAATGATGCTCTTCAGGGGCAGAGGCATAGGACAGTAAAATCAATCTCATGTTTCTTAATGAGCTCTAGGTCTCCATCTAATTTTAATTGTTTGCCTGGAATAAGAAAATACTTTCAGGCACTTATATTCTGCTCATTATTAATAAACAGCATATAATACTCAAGATGTTTCTTCCATTTCCTGGCCCATTCTGGCTTATCCACTATGATCCTCAGTACTATAAGAAAGTGAATTTTCTTCTATTATGAATCTCAAAAACCTGTCATTTTCTATGAATGATAAGAATAACATCACTGCAGGAAGGGAAATATATACAAAATAGCATGTTTTATACAAGCATAGGGAAAAAAAAAAAGGCTTTTTCTTTGGGGAATGTAATTTAATAACCAAAATTTTTCACCTTCAGCATTCACAAGACTTAGAGTAGAATGCCATTGTTTGGATTTCCAGCTCCGCTTCTGTAATTGACAAAACCTTTTTCTGACAAGTGGCTTGTCAGAATAAATAAATGCACAGCCAAATCTATCTGTAGAAGGCAAGCTGTGTGCTTTTGAAACTACACAAGCTTCCTCTGCTGGAAGAAATACACAGCTGCAGGGTTACCCGTGGCATCTTGAGAGGAAGAAAGGCTACATCACAAACTTTGTAGAAGGGACACCCTTTCACACGGAAACTGAAAACTGAAATTTTAAAATTTTGGTGGAAACAGAGAAAACACTAATGATTTGTAGGTGTATCATTGCTGCATAGTTTGGAAGTACACTAGAAACTAATCTTGTGGAGCATATACTGCCAAAGGCAGGGAAAATATCAGTCCTGGACAACACAGGGATATTTTTTGTTATTTGCAGAAAATGTGCTTTTTATCACTAAACATATATATTTTTAAAATAAAATTGCATCCTACTCTTGTCTGGTTCCTCGACTCATTCCTGGGAGAGTAAGTTGCTGTTTGAGCAGAAAGAAAAGCTTAAAGTTGCTGTTTGATCTCCCAGAAAGGAAAGCTTAAAGGACTGGACATTGATCTGAAGAGAAGCCATAGTCAGGATGACTCAGTGTGCAGAAATGAACATTACTTATAGCTTTGGAGTTTAATTCACTGATTTAGATATTTCATATTTATAAAGTTTTCCCAGAAAGCTGCTTTTCTGTAGGGCGACATCGAGGATACTTACAACACTCATATTCTGACATTCTTCTACTCTGCTGAAGGAGCACATTTTCAATGCTGAACCCCCATCTGCTGGCATGCCACTTAGCAGTCACTCACTCTGAGATTTTTCTTCAACTCCTTGGGCTTTGTTTTAGTTTCCTCCTCATGATGATTGGCAATATGAAACTGTCAATTTTCATTAGTCTCTTTCCTAGCTCAGTCATGGATATGTTGAGCAAGATGGGTCCCATCTTGGTCCTGCGATAGCCTACTGGTAGCACCCCCCACTGTGAAAGGTTTTTGTCTTTTTCTTTCCTCTCCAACCTCAGTTACAGACCCATGGGAGGACTTCCCCTCTTGCCCCAGGAACACTTAAATTCTTAAAGGTCCATTTGTGTAGAGCCTTGTTAAAACTGCTGTACATTGTGTGATACAGGCAAGAGTTACACTTATTATTATAAATTTAAAAAGAGTTGGGTACCTGGTGCACCTTTCATCTTAGAAAACACCAATGACCTTACACTGTTCATTTGAGAAGTTTCAGTGTTTGTCAGTAAGGAAAACATTTTTTATTCACACATATTTATAAGCAGAAGTTCACAGTCACAGCTTTTACAATTATGTAATAATATTTTTCTTTTGTAACTCTTATCTTACTGTTAGAGACGGAAATGTTATAATTTATGGCTCAAACATAACTAGCAAGGCAGAAAATCTCTGCATATGCATAGTATTATGCTAAATTGAAAACAAACCAATTATTGAGAAGTTGATATGTAAAATAAATTGAATTTTTGAATGCTTGGGACATCTGATTTCAAAAAGATACATCAGAGAACTGTCTTAATGATAAGAAGTGTTTATTTCCAAAGTCTCAGTCATTGTATTGGAATGATTGGCTAGCATAACATATAATCATTCTTTTTAATAAAGAATTCTGCAAGACTAGCCTGTCTTTGGACTATAATACACTTTTTTTTTTTTCTCAGAAAAGATTAAAAAACCCACAAAAGGTTGAGAAAAGGAGAGGAAAATTTGAAAGGCTTCTGTTATTTAGTCTGTGAAATGGAACTGAAATTTAGACAGAAAGTCTAGCATTTACAAAATGAACAGCAAACAAACACATTCATTATTTTAAAATTACATTCAAAAAATTATTTAAAAGTTTCTACAAGTTCTGGGAGAAATTGGAAGTGTATCATAACATGAGATACAGTATAAAATTTAGAAGCTGACAAGATATTAGACCTTCTAATGCATTGTTCTGACTTCATTAGAACTTAACTTGGACTAGTGTCTGGTTTGTGACTGAAGAGTTTTGAATCTGCTCCTTTATTTTCCTGCATTTGACAAGTAAATCTGCCCACAGAGTTTATTCCAAAGCCCAAACAATATTTTTTCAGGCACAGAATCTTGTTGAACATATAATGCAGAACTTCAAAACCTTGAGATTAAATAAATCCACAATGGTACACAAACAGAAAGACCTCACAGTGGCCCCAGGCTAGGACCTTAGACGGTGGAAGTCACTTCAGAGCAGCGTGGGAACTTTTTGGTCCTCATGTGCCTTGAGCTAGAGAATCTACCAAGTCAAGTATTTTCCTTGTGAAAATTAATTATGTCCCAAAGAATATACTCATGGACAGAAAATAACAGTTGTATACCTTTCATGATACAGAAGAGAAATTTTTATTTTGACTCCACACTGAATGTGCAACTGCAGAAAAAGTAAAGCAACTAATAAAATCCATAATGGCCATTTAGAAAAAAAAAAAAAAAACAAAACAACAAAATAAAACTGCATAAACAATAGTAAAACTGACATTTTCTCAATCAGGATTTTTAATATTACGTGATGTAGCAGAATTTCAATGATATGCATGAGACAAAGGAAAAGGTTCACTTGTAGCCCACTGACTTTCTCCCTAGCAAGTTAGAAAAACTTACTGCAAACAGTGGAGCAATTAAACCTTTTTTTTTTTTTTTTAAAGAACATTGCAAAAATGCTTTAGAAAACAATCAAAATAGAGAGTTTTGATACTGATTCTCATGACTGTTATTTGATTTTTGATTGAGATAGAACACAAATGAAAAGACTTTACATTTCTTTGAAAATTACATACCAGTAAACAGTAGAAACTTATTCATATTTCCTGAAGCCAAACCCCACAGAATCTCAACTCTATCCCAGCATTAAAGAATTTTTCAACTCCTTCATGAACAACTGAAAAAAAAATTCAATATTTCAATTTTCTGTTTCTAGCCATCATCCTTTTTTGTTTCACTGTACTCAAGGGCTGGTATATTTAGTTTACCAGTTTACTTAGGTTATTTTCTCAGGTAAAACACCAACGTGCTTGTGTGTGGGCACACTTATTTACCTGCATAAGGCTGTTGGCTAATTTTATTTGAATAATACTTTGACGTAGATATCTTAGGAACATTTATGTATCTCCAAGTTTTAGGAAAACCAGATTGGGCATTAACTCAGCCCACATAAGACAACAAAGAGTATCATAACTATAGGAAAAACTTGAGTGGAAGTTCCAACCACTTTTCAATAAGACCATTTTCTATTTTCAAATGTTTCCTGCAGTTAAGAGATTTGTACAAACTCTAGTGAATTATTAAATGAAAAGCAACTTATGCTGCAGTGGATGCTGACATCATTTAACAAAACCACTTGGAAAGACAGCGAGCCTCGTTATCCTATGGATCCCAGACCTACCGGTTGACAGGTTTCAAAAACTTTTAACACTCATGAAACTCCCTACGTTTTTATGCCGGGGCGGAAAAATGAGAGAATTTTAGGACATTCCACGGCACACGGGAAGCTGTGCGACTGAGCTGTTAAATTCCAGTTGTAACAAAGAATAGAACATTGTCGAGTTCTCAAGGGATTTGCATTTACGCAGAACTCCTGTGTGGGAGAGACCTCAGTGCTGACCCGCTGTGCTCCCGCTTGGGAACTACAGGAGAAGCACGACTGGCATTTTGGGTTGCGGCTTCTGACAGGAAGCCAAGCGCTTCCTTCAGCGGAGCACCGGCGTTGCGGTGCGTTCCCCGGCCGTGGCACCGGCACCGAGACCGAGACCGAGACCGAGACCGGCCCCGGCACCGGCACCAAGGCCGTCCCCGGCCCGCGGGGCTCCGGCCGCGCCCATGGCGGCGGGCGGGCAGGTACCGCGCACGGCAGGCGGGGCAGGCGGGGCCGCCGCTGCCGCTCCGCCCCCTCCTCCTTCGCCTCCTCCTCCCGCCTCAGGTTTGTCATCGTGTCGCCGGCACGGCCCGGAGGAGGAGGAGGAAGAAGAGGAGGAGGGATGAGGAAGCCGCTGCCGCCTTTGCATCCGTGACGGGGCCTGGAGAGCCCGGGCTTGGGACGGCCCCTTTCCCACCGCCGGCGCACAGGCGCTGCTCGCCCGGGGGAAGGGCCAGGAGGAGGAGGACGGCGGCGGTGCTGTGTGAGAGGGAGCGTGGAGATGAGCTCAGCTCTGTGCCCTGGAGCCGCCTGAGGAGACTCGGCTGCCTCCCAGCCTCCCTCGCCGCCGCCATGGCTCACTCCCCCGTGCAGGCGGGGCTGCCGGGGATGCAGGTGAGCAGCTGCCCCAAGGGCGGGCACGGACACGTACCTCGGGCCAGGCTGGGTGTACAGAGGGGCATTCCCGGGTCTGGGGGGACAGGGTGAGGGGAGAAAGAGCCTCTTGACCCTGGCTGGGCCACGGTGGCTGGGCTGGGGGCAGACGAGCGGGATGGAGACGAAACGTGCTGTCAGCGCTTGGCGTGGCGCCCAGTGAGGTCCCTCCGGCCGGTGGATCCCTGCCTGCCTCTGCCTCCATCCGCCTCTGGCCCTGCAGGCATACGGAGCGGAGCGTGCCGTGCGGCCCCCTCCCCGGCCGGGAGTTCTCGGTGTTTTAATTCCTGAAGCCAGCCACGGCTCAGTGGGCGATTTTCGGCCCCGTTAGTTTGGGGTGCGCAGGGGAAGCATACGTAAAACCAGTCGGTACAAGCAGGGCCTGGCAATGTTGACCTTCAGCGCATGCTGCAGTGCCCATGTCTGTGGTGCTGCTCTGAGGTGGGTGCTCGGGAATCGGGTTTGGCTCCTGTGTTTGATTCCGAGAGTTCGTCAGCTGCTGTTGTTACACGGTGGAATTTGCTCGTTCTGTTCTTAACTATATATTTGAAATAACTAGTGTGGTTTTATGCTGACTGAGCTGGCTTAGTCTGAGCTTCCCCCCCACCTCGATTTTGTTGATTTAAATGGCAACTGCTGCCAGGAAAACATTAAGGTCAGTGGTATCTGTGTGTTGTTATACTAATATTCGCCACATCCGATTAGAAACTTTCTTGCCCTTATCTTCAAAGGGACAACTTATGAATGACATGTAAGAGTTTCTCTTAAATTTGTCTCCTGGATTAAAAGTGTTTGTGCATCACTTGGTTAAATATGGATTTACCATAGTTTGTTTTATTGTGAGTCAGGATTCTAAGTCATTAATCTCTTTTCTTTCCAAAATCTGAAGATTTGAATTGAAAATATTACATGCTTAGGCATAGCATGAATTATGTGCTCATACATAGTACTGGATGCCCTGTAGCCTACGTAGGCCCACCCTCTGAGCTAATTAATCTATTGCTGTGTAGGTCCTGCTGTTGAGAGTTCCAGTTCGCCTTTCAAATATGAGCAGTTTGCTGATTGCCGGAGGCAAAGAAATGGTTTCTTGATTGACTATGGATATTGTTTAGGCTTTTTAAAAATTCCCTTGAGACTTATTAGAACTAAGACAACTATCTGCTTTGTGACAGAACCTATAACACTTTAGCATTTAAAAATCAGATTTGTAGCTGCTTGGAAGTGAGAGAACGAAGATTATTCCATCCATATGCATGTACTGATGATGTATGCCACTGCATGATCCGAGGACTTGTGCTTTTTATTGACTTGATTTATTATTTGGTTTGTAGTACTGTTAGCTCTCCTGAATGTGTGGCTCTTCAGGGTTCTTGTTAGCTCACATAATTTGGGACTTTGTTTCAAATAAGTTTATTCAAAATGGTGTTCTTTTTCCTCATGATTTTTATTCTGTTACTATTTGAGTTGCTCAAGTGTGAACTTTCATAGTCTAAAGAAAACCCCCAAAACACCAAACTAGAGATCTGCCGATAGGTAGAGGCATAAATTCTGTGAGCAATGTGAATGCTGCTCACTAATTTTCTGTGCCCAGTTCAAGATGTCTGTATCCATTTCCATTCTGTCAGAATATATAGCAGTTTTATAGTGGTCTGTTTTCAGTACACGATTCTCTTTGATTTCACTTCCAAATAAATGTTCAAAGAGTAAAGTACATACCATGTGTGACATCTGCTTAGATAAGAAAAAGATTTGGGACTTTTTTTGTTGTGTAGAAGAGAGGAATATAGCTTAGTTCTCTGGGTTATAATTAAATTGCCTAAATCACGGGACTATCTCTTCTTTTTCTGTAGTGTGATCCCTCCTCCCCACCTACCAGCTTCTGCCACAAACGGTGGAAGCAGTGTCAGTGACAAGTTATGCAGCTTTCTCTGACATTCTTTGCTGTACTCGCACAAGAGTGCAGCCATTGTCCTTGTGTGAGCAGGGTAACTTCTTAACCCCAAAAAATCACTTGGAGGGACATCACTTTTATTAATGCTGTTTGGCCTGAGCATGGTAGTGTCAGTAGAGGAGAGGAATGAATGATTAATGTATTTCCACCTAAGCAAGATGTCTGATCCATGTTTGAAGAGTGATGCATAAAAAGTGAGTGGGTAGAGAGTGAGCCAAAGGAATGAGAAACTGTGGAGGAAATGTAGGATGGTGCTGGAAGGTTGTCAAAACCTGAGATTTGCTGTCTGCTGCACAATGGGCATGCTGTAACCTGAATTAAAATAGAGTTGGGTTTTGACCTAAATTTCTGTCTGTTCGGTTTAAGTTCAGACTTGAAGTTTTTGCTGTTGTTTTAAGGGCTCTGTGTAGGTATGAGTTTGAGTGTGCAGGGTGAAGATGCATCATGACTAAACTGAGGATGTGCTGTCTTGCTTCTTCATGCCTCATGAAGTGGCCTGAGGAGAGTGTGTGTTTGCCTGTAAACGTGTGAGATTCCTGCAAGACTGGCTCAGAGTAAGTGTATACGACCTTGATTTTCAGACTGGCTTGCATTTCAAGGCTGTGGTAAACTTATGGAGCTTCTTTAAGGAAGCTGTATTTTAAATCAAGTACTGTGTTTATAAATTTATGGTAATAAATTCCTGTGGTGCTTTTAAAATTCCATCATCTTTAAGACAAGCCTCTTCTGTGTGATAACCCCCTTTTTTATCTTCTTTCCTTTTCGGTTGTTTTTGTAGCAATAACAGTGTTTATGCAGTAAGTTATTTTTATTCATTCTTCATTGTATTTTCAGTACAAGAACTACAGGTTCTTCATGCAAAATGTAAATAAGTGTTGACATTCAAGCTGTGTTTCTTCAAGAAATGCCAGAAGTTTAACTAAATTTAAGTGGGAACTTGAGAAATGAACAGAAAATATTTTTAATTATAAAGGCACCATTTTGGGCTCAGAAATCATTGGAAGTGTCAGTTTGCCAGAGCCTGGAAGGGTGTTTTGGGAAATGCTGCTGTTTACTTGTCTATTTTTGTGCTGTTCCCAAGATGTTCACTTTTGACTGTCCTAGGAAAAGTGTCTTGGCCTAGAGGATCCTTTGTTCTGATCTGGCATGGCTGTTCTTTTGTAGTTACACACTATAGGTATTACTGTCTTTCTTATTGCAACTCATTCTCCTTTTACAATAAACTGTTTTAACTACTTCCTGTGTGAGCTCTGTGTTTGGTAACTCCAAAATACTGTGTTGCTAAATCAAAGGCACTGTGGAAAGGCCAATTAGCTTCTTCTGCTTTCCATTTGCAACTTCTGTGGAGATTAGCTTTCCCCAGTTTGATTTTTTTTTTTTTTTTTTTTTTTTGAGAGGTTGTGCTCAATGTTGCTATTTGTGTTACAGTTTGACAAATACTTTGCACTAACTTACAGCACTTAAATACTGGACAGATCCTTGGACCATTATGATCTTGGCTAATCAGTTTTAAATATCCTGAATACAGATGTCATTGTTCTGTGATGTATTACAAGCTCAGCCCTTGGGTGCCAAGACACAACAGTTTTAATTGGTGAAGAAGTGGGCATCTTATCCCTCTGTAGTGAAAGGCTGTTTCAGGGCTATGTAATAGATTTATGGAACTGTTTGAGAGTCAGGAAAACCTATTTCCATAGTGTGGCCTTCCGGAATAGGTACGTAGATGGAGCTTATGGTGACTGTGTCATTCAGGTGTCCTCATAGACCAGTCAGACTGGCCCTGTATTGTGGCAAGTTTCGTGTGTGTGTAAGGTACCCAGCTGGCATCTTTGTTCCCCGGAGAGACAAAAGGCTACTGATGTAGCAGACACATTTAAATACCGGGCCTTGTGTTATGAGTGGTGTACAAAGCTCTGATGTCAGCTTTACATAGTGGCATCTTTTGTGTTTCTGAAGTAGAAAATGTCTCTTGGCTGCATTTTCAAAATTGGCTTAAATTCTTCTCTTACTCCCTTTCTTGTGAGTGGAGTGGAAAGGGGAATTGCGGATGCACAAAACACTGATGGACAAAGTCAACAAGGCGTGTAATATAAAGCAATAATAATAAAAAATACTGCATCCATCCTATAGTAATTTGGTCCCTTCTATACAAAAAAGTATGTGAATAGCTGGAGAGGATTGAGAGAAGGGCCACAAAGATAACTGGAGGACTGGGAAGCCTTTCACATGGGAGGGCTGAGAGAGCTGGAGAAAGGACAACCCAGGATGGAGACCTTATAACCATGTTCCAGTATTTAAAAGGTGTCTGAAGAGAAGATTGAGACTCCCTTTATACTAGGAATCGCATGGAAAGATGAGGGATAAGAGATACAAATTACACTTGGGGAGGATTCTGATTGGGCACAAAAGGAAAGTTCTTCACAAATAGGACAATCAGCCATTGGAATAATCTTCTTGAGGAAATGGTGGATTCCCCAACGCTGGACTCAAAATTTTAAGTCTGGCCTGGACAGGGTGTTGGACTACCTTGCCTAGACTGTGCTTTTGATGGGAAGGGTTGGACCAGATTTTCCTTGAGATCCCTTCCAACCTGGTATCCTATGACTGTGATTGATTTTGATCTGGTTATTGCTTTTGTGATTATACACTTTTTGTGGACTACTGTTTAACTCAGCAGTGTTCTGTGTGCTTAAAAGTAGTAAAGTAGTAATTGGCGTGGATGCAGCTTTATAATCAAAACGGGTTTTACTTGTAAACTGTTGATCTGGATAATTTTCCATGTGCATGTGTGCACAAATGTCAGACTGTGCTGGTTGTATATTAGTATAGAACTAAGAACCTTGCACTGTAACTTGATAAAAAGTGAGGCTTGAATCAGGAGAATTAATTGTATTCTTAGTTGCTCTGCTTGGCAGCTTCTTGAGACAGACATCTGGGTTTTCTGTTAGATATAATGGGCGCAAGAAGAGTCTCCCCTCAAATTATGAGATTGCTGTAGAACCTAAAATTCGCTATTTTCCTTATTTTTCTCAAGTAGTATTAATGCAACATAACTTTCTAATTGCCTCAATTAGCATTCTTTATTCAACCATTTGCCATAATGATGGGGTTTCTCCTAAACAGCTACTATTTTATTTTTCTTTTTATCAGTAGCTTGGCTAATTAAGAGTGACTCTCATCAAGGAAGTTTTAGCTTTTTAGCAAGGGTAAACAAGAGAGAGACATTATTTTAAAGCTGTTCTTGGGACGCTGTTCCTTACCTGTGTTTTTCTTGGTGTCTAGAATACATCTTGTTTCACTGCCATGCTGTCCATGCTGCTGATACTTGTATGTTGTTTTCACTATGCACCCAAGGCATGGAGAGATTTTTAATTGCAGTAATTTACAGTTTAGAAGTGTAATGGATGGAAGGGAGGAAGTCAGATATGGGTTATGAAAGTTTTTTGTGCTGTTGCACTAAAAACTGAGAAACTTCAGAAACTCAGAAAAA